AGCTGGCTTCACTGAAGCCTTAAGAAAGTCACTTAGCCTTAAGAAACCCTAAATACTTTGTCCTAAAGGATTGTTAGGAGTCAGAACTGACTTGAGAAAAGTGGGCATGATGTATTAGCTCTAAGAAAAAAAAATTAATAGTTGTTGCCACTCTTTTACACAAATTAAACCTTTATATTGTACTTGATATTATTGAGCACAATGAAAAGATAAAAATACTATTAAAATATTGTATTCTGCATACATCTCTTGCAGGCACACAGACTGGGCAAGACTAAAGACTGGATCCTGCTCCACCTGACTGAATGAAAGACTGCATACAATACCAGCCCATTCTTTCTTCAACTGTTCTACACTAACAAAGAAAAAAAAGCTGCACACCCACCACCCACCATCCTTAATCACTCTACTGCATTCACCAGAAGACAACAGGTAAAACATGAAGAAATTTCCAACTAACAAGCAATGCAACAAACTCACTCAGATCAATCAGATAATACTGAGAAAATAATACAAAGACAATAACATCACCATGTCTCAGGAGTAGCAGATAATTAAACAAGTGAAAACAAGGTGGAAGAAACAGAAGATCTTTCAGAAGAAATACTATTGGAACTTCCCCATAAGGAATTCAAAAGAATGATAATTCAATGCCTCGGTGGATTGAGAGAGAAACAGAAAACACAGAATTAAAAACTAAACAGAAAAAAGACCAAATAGGTAAAATAAGTGGAAAATCAGGAGCAATACAAAAAAGGAAAATTGAAATGTAGAACATAAAAAAGAAAGTATCAGGAACGGGGAAGCTAATAAAAGCATAAAAGAGCAGAATTTGAAGAATAAGAATACATACTTAATGAAATGAAGCACAGAGCCTTTCATGCTAATCTGCCAGAGGAATACTTAGAAAAAAAGACAAAAGGGAAATGAAGAAAATAAAAGAATTACATGGATGTTACCAAGAGGGAAAACTTATGTTTGACTGGAATTCTAGGATAAAAAGAGACAAGACAACACAAACCATAAAAAAACAAAGCCACCCAACCCCCCAAAACAAACAAACAAACAAACAAACCCCCAACACATCCCAAAAGCACAGAAGAAATTGTTGGAATATTTGCTGGAAGAAAACGTCTGAAGTATTTAGGGCAAAGATGCCGTCCCTGTCATAAGCCCACCCGTGGAGGTGGTGAAGGCACCTGACAATTAATGGCAGGTTCTGGGGATTCAGGAGCTTGATGATTCTTTTCCTATAAGAAATGGTAATAACTTCATTGAAAGTTCTCAGTAGCAATGGAGAGTTAGGCATATAGAAAAGCAGAGAGGTAGTGTGGGATAATTAAAATTAATTGTTAAGGGTCAACAATTCATGTTTATCTCTTCCTTCCTTTGCCTTTAATCTTTGTAAATGCACAAAGTAGCCAAGTAATTAATTTTTCCACTACTGTCATAAGTTTGAAATGTTAGGTTAACAAGAGATGTTAGTCAGAAATAGGTGTACAAAACAGTTTGCAAAAAGTTTGACAGCTTCTTATAAATTCAAATATATGCATTCTGTATGATCCAGTCATTTCATTAAAAAGAAAAGAAAGTACATTTTCATATTAAGAATTCAACATAAATATGCATTGTATTGTAATAGCCTAAAAACGGGAACTAATCCAAGTTTCTATCGATAATTGAGTGAATGAATAGCCAAGTAATATTTCATATCAATAAAGGAAATGAAGTATTTTTTAAAAACCCATCCAAAACCCCAAACATAGGGAAACACTAGCAGCAATAGTGAAGATCAGTAAGACAGAAAATAACAAATGCTGGTAGAGATACTGGACTCCTCATACATTGCTGGTGGAAATGTAACATGACATAAACATGGAAAGCACCTTTGCACTTCCTTAGAAAGTCGGGATTAGAAATAGAATTTCATTCAACAAACCCATTACCTGGTATATAACTCAAGGAAATAAGAGCTGTCACATGAATAGACACATACACACCCATGCTGTTCTTAAAGGCAAAGAGATAAAAACAACTCAAATAAATGTCCACCAAATGGATGAATGGCTAAAGAAACGATACATAATGGAATCTTAAAACACTAAAGGACAATGAAGTATAAAACACTGGATAAGAAGGTGCAGGTAGAGAACATTATGATAAGCAAGATGAGTCAGTCACAAAAAGGAAAATGATGTTATAAATCCATCATTGTAAACAGCCATGAAAGAATTTAAACACAGAGTCATTCCTGAATGGTTACCTAGGATCAGAAGGGAGGGAGAAGGGAGTAAAAATTAATAAATAGATAAGTTGGGCATAGAGAAGGGTACTACCTTACATTAATAAATTGTGTTTAATGTCAGGAAACAAAATGTATATGAATCATGAAATTAAATTGTAATTATGCTATAAAAATGCACATCAAATGCAAGCTAACAGGATTAGTAAAATGTAAAATAACATGATTTTTAAACTTTCACATTGGGAAAAAAAGGAAATAAAGGTTGGGTAAGAATACAGTATATATAAAAGATGAAACTAAAAAATTCTGAGTGCTGGCAAATTGGAACTGATTCATAGGTGACTCTCCAGTGGGTTTTAGGAAGGTAAAGAGGTAAGGAGCTGAGCTGCCAACTCAAAAGCATGTGGTTGATTCAAATCCACCATTGGCTTTGAGAAAGAAAAACGGGTAATCTTCTCCTGTGCGATTTATTGTCTCAGAAAACCCACTGGAGAGTCAGCTGTGGGTTGGTTCCGACTCAATGGTTGTGGTTACTACTACAACAACAACAACAACAACAACAACAACAATCAAATGGGTGAAGACTGCCCATCTCAGCCACTGATGGATTTGAACCCCTGAAGACATATTCAAGGAAGCTCACTGTGGATTATATTACCAGGGTCACCTTTAATACATGAAAGATAGCTTAATATGGGTAGAATGATTTATTGAAATCTGTTAATGAAAATTAGATTATTATCTATTTGAGGTGTGATACATCTAAGTCAATATCCCTTCTGAATATGAAAAAAAAAATGAAAACAACCTTTGGATAGTGTGAATTATGCAATATAAAATGCTAGCACATCAAAGAGTTAAAATATATACAATCACACACTTACATATACGTATTAAGCAAATAACTGGCTGCTACATAGCACAGAATAAACTGTGCACTATTTTTCCTTACTGAGAAAAGGAAGAAAAATGCTAGTAAAATTGTGACATCGAGTTGTTGTGGGCTTTTTAAAAAAAAAATTTAAAAAGCATGACACTGTAAATATATTTAAGAATTAACCACTAAAGTAATGCTTTCAAAAATTTTGGATGAAAGACAGTAATGCAATCATTTAATTGCATCATGACTACGATCAAGAACAATAAATTCCTGCATGGGGAAAGAGTGCAAACCTAACATTAATGGTGAGTTACTATAGAAGAGATTCTTACATAGGTGGTAATCACAGAATTAAATACAGAAAGTTACATGTAAAGAGTCTCACAAATTCTATCACATCTCTACTCTCAAATCCTTAGTCTTCCACCATATTGTGAGTCAATTTCAGAAAACTATGTTCTAAAACAGTTCAGGTTAATTACTAGTTCAAAACCTGTTTTGGAGAAAGTCAAAGAAGAGTGTTCCTTAGAGACAAGGATGGTAACACTTCTCACATGCTTTGGGCATAATATCAGGAGGGGCCAGTCACTGAAGAGACACATCACACTGGTAAAAGCAGAGTGTCAGTGAAAAATAGGAAGATGCTCATGAGACAGACTGATACAGTGACTGCAACAATGGGCTTGAGCATGTAGGAAGATGCTGAGGATGGAGTAGGGTAGGGAAAGGCTCCAGTCTGTTGTTCACAGAATATCTACAAGTTGTAGATGACTTGCTACAACTAACATACAACTATTTAGTGAGTAAAGGTGTATAAATGCATGACATGAAATGACAACCATCATTTAAGTCATTAAAAGTTTAAGAAGTATCACAAATAATAAAATAAAAATAATAATAAAGAGAAGATGATATCACAAATGTGCTAGATGCAAAAGGAATTAATAACACTTAAGATATATCAAATCATATAAACTACTGTATCTTTTTATACAAACAGGAAAACAAAGAATATTCATTATTTTAACAAATTTATCACATTAGAAGTACAAAGTAGTGTGTGTATATATAAAATATGTTGTGTATGTGCACAAAGGATACATATAAATGGACAATACTCAGGTCATTAATTAGGATCACTTTTTTCCAAAAATGGCATATATTGCTGGTAATTAAGAATTCTGTGATCTGATATATAATAGTCCTCTTGCACACTGAAATACAACTATACCAAAAAACTCCTTATATGAATTATATCTGATTTGATATGAATACTGACATCTGAGGAAATAGTTATTTAATGTTTATAACAGTGATGAAAACATAAAAATACACTGTTATAAGAAAAATTTAAGTAAAATATTAGTCAGAAGCACTTTACTACAGAGGAAATAGGGAAAAAAACTAAGATTTTAAAATTATAAGTGTTTAAATATATATATTCATTAGTAGTTATATTGCCAGTTAGGAATTAAGCACTTTAGGTAAGACAAATATAGATTTCACTTGACCAGTTTTACTATACACAGAAAGTGCAAATTTTATATATCAGCAATTAGGAATCTGAAAAATGTAGACTGCATCTCTATTAAAAGCATTATTCTCCATATGACAGTGTTTAATCAATGATGGCTATTATAGGGAATACTAAAAAATTTTTAATTGAAGTTAACTATTTTATTCTCCAAGTTAACCCTTAAGCTGTGCCTTTTACTTGAAACAAGAGAGTTACTTTATTTCAAATGACTTCTGATTCTTTTAAAACTATAAAAGGAAGGAAAAAGTATTAGTTAAATTAAGTGTTAAAACAAATAAATTAGTACTAAAGCATACACTTTATCATGAAAAATTAAAAAGGCCAAGCCAAAGGTTTACCTCTACACAGGTTTTCATCCCTGAAGCAGCGGCATAGTGCAGAGCTGTGTTCTTCTTATTATCAACAGCATCAATAGCTGCTCTCTCATATTCGCCTTGGTCAAGTTTTGCTCCTTTCCATCTTAAAATCATCTGCAGACAATCTGCTCTTCTGAAATCATCTTCAGCAGGGCGGACTAAGCGAGGATGAAGGGCTCCTTCAGATATCATAATTTGAGGTCCCATACACAACAAATGCATAGATGTTTCATTGTGCACATTCCGTTTATTTGGATTTCCATCTCTACCAAAAAGAAAAGTCCTAAAATGGTAACAGAAAAGGATGAAAACCAATTAGTTTGTTTGGTTTACAATTCCATAAGCTGACATACCAGTTTAAGGACTAAAGTGTGTCTGACCCAAGTCCTGTTCATTTTCTTAGCATTGTATTCAATACTCTTACCCAGCACCACAGCTCAAAGGCATTAATTCTCCCTCTGTCATCCCTAGTCATGGTCCAGCTCTCCGATGTATAGCAAGTAATGGCAAAGATCATGGCCTGTATCAGGCACACCTTAGTCTTCAGAGTGATGCCATTGCTCTTCAGTACACTGGAGAGGTCCCTAACAGCAGACTTTCCCATCTCGATACATCTTTTAATTTCCTGGCTGCCAAAAATGACTGAACAGCCCATCAACAGAGAACTCCCAGAAGTCCAGGCTGGGTTTAGAAGGGGTTGTGGTACTAGGGATATTATAGCTGATGTTAGATGGATCATGGCTGAAAGAAGGAGTACCAGAGGAAATGTCTATTTGTGTTTCATTGATTAAGGAAAGGCGTTTGACTGTGTGGATCATATCAAACTGTGTCTGACTCTGAGAAGAATGGGAATCCCAGAACACTTGATCATATAATGCAAAACCTATACTTGGACCAGGAGGCAGCTGTCAGAACACAGCAAGGAAATACTGCATGGTTCAAAATTGGGAAGGGTGTACGCAAGGAATGTGTCCTATCTCCATAACTTTTAAACCTATATGCAGAACAGATTATCTGGGAGGCTGGGCTTTATGAGAAGAAATGCAGCATCAGGATTGGTGGAAGCAGGTTCAACATTGAGACAGTTAAAACAAGCTCCTCCTTGGAGGCAAGGATTCTGAAGCTTTGTCTGACATACTTTAGACATGTTGCAAGGAGGGAACAGTCCTTGGAGAAGGACGTCATGCTTGCAAGGGTGGAGGGATAGCACAGGAGAGGTGGTTTGATTCAGTGACTAGGGGTATGGGGGTACATGTGATGAAGACAGAAAGATTAGCACCGGACAGAGCAGGGTTTAGGGCTATTGTACATAAGAGTGGCTATAAGTCGCAGGTGACTCAACAGCACATAACAACAACAAATCATAATGTTGCCTATTGGAATAGTAGCAAGGATTTTTCTCTTGATTGTGAGATATAATCCACATTGAAGGCTGCAGACTTCAATATTCTGTGATAGGTGCCTCAAATCTCCTTCACTTTCTGCAAGCAAAGTTATGGTTATATGTATACTACAAGTTGTTGATGAGTATTCTTCCAATCTTGCTGTCTAATTTTTTTCACACTGTCCAGTTTCTCCAACAATTTGCTCAGCACATAGACTGAATAAGTGTGGAGAAGGAATACAACCCTGATGCATTCCTATGCAGTGTTTTCTTGTTCTGTCTGGACAATGGCTTCTTGGTCTATGAATGGTTTTGCCTGAGTACAAGTAAGTGTTCTGTGATGCTGTTTATTTTATAGTTAGTGTATGTGTATTCCTGCTCGTTTATAGTTAGATCTTATGGGTATAGTACTTGTCATGTGCTGTACTGAAGTGACCATTAGAGTAGAAACCAAAAGATAACTAGTAAAACATATGAGGATCCAAAGAAGGGGCAGGGTAGGAGCAGAGGGGTGAAATGGGGAGGGGTTTAATCATACGGCTGCAAAATCTGATGGGTAGAGGGAAGGGTGGGTAAAGGAAATGGAAAGACCCGGTTTGAAAAACAATATACACAATTATTTTTTAAGTAAACCAGTATTAAAAAAAATTAAGAAGACTCCTTAGATCGATTGACACACGAAATCTAACAATGAACTTATACACAGCAAATGCTTGTGAGAATGGTGCAGAACAGGGCAGAGTTTCACTCTGCTGTGCATAGAACAGCGATTAGTCAGAGATGACCTGATGGCACCGTGGAGAGAGAGCAGCCAGTGTTCCTTTGAGGCAAGGATGGCAAAGCTTCATCTCACATACTTTGGGCACACTGCTAGGAAAGGCTATTCCTTGGAGAATAACATCATGCTTGGAAGAGATAAGGGATGATGATGATAAGACCCTCAACCAAGTTGACTGACACAGTGACTGCAGCAATGGGATCAAAGGTGTGAGAGATTGTGAAGATGGCACAGGATAGGACAGGGGACCTGCTTTTCATAGGGTCAGTATGAGTGTTAATTCAGTGGCAATTAACAACAACAGAAAGATTTCTGGTTGCTTGCCTGTTCAATCCACACTCTTTTATATCTCACGAGACTGAATTAAAACACATTAAACAACCACAATCCCATACATATAACAAAGAAACTTCTTTCCAAAGAGGATTATAGCAAGGGTTATAATACAAAAACCAAAATTTATTGGCAAAAACTCAATTCTGACTCAAAGCAACACTACAAGCCAGAGCAGAAGGCTTCCAAGGTTGTAAATCTTCACAGAAATAAACTGCCACATCCTTCTCCCAAAAGTAAATGATGGGTTCAAATTACTGACCTTCTGGATTGCAAATGAATAACTAATAATTGTGCTACCAGGGTTCCCTTTTGGAGAGGGACACAATTCAGTGAATAACATAGCCATAATGTTGATTAATAGCTACAATAGAAAATAAATAATAAACACTTTTTGGATTTATAACGGCTCAATTGTCATATATTATTATCACAGATTATAAAAGTAAAACAACACTGTAAAAATGTGGCTAACAAATCTTCTAAGAAATATTCTTAACAAGTTTTAATTTAGGAAGAGATCATTAAAATGATACATTCTGTACGATTCTGCATAATCACATTTAGCTAGCCTTTTCTATGCCCATTTACTATATATCAGTTATTTGCTCTCTTAGTTTGTTCACAAAATGTCAAAAGTTTTGATCATATAGAATCAAGTTCAAGCTAGGATAATGTCTGTTAATATTGAAAGATCTTTTTCTTTCTAATATTAAACATCTCTAGATACTTTTTAATAAGGGGAAGCTATAGTAAGACATTTCTGCAAGTGTTTGCATATTCAATCTTCCAGACTATGGGCAATCAAACCAAATATGCACAGTTTGTTATTCTGAAGTGAAAACAGTTTACATTATATGTATTTACTCAGGAAAGAAACTCAATTTTATTAGACACTGAACCATATTTACATAAACATTTTAAACTACTATGCAATCAAATATTCTAATTTTATTGATTCATATTAGTACTTTCTCTTTGTTTAAATTCAAAGCCATTTTCCTGAATTTACATGAATGTGTAATGGGAATGGCAATTATATAATTGATACATGTTTTAGGTAGGCTCCTTTTTTCCAATTAAGTAAAAAACCAAATCCACTGTCACTGAGTTAATTTCAATTCACAAGAGACCCTCTCGGACAAGGTACAATTTCCCCATAGCATTAAAAGGGTATAATCTGTAAGATTGCCCCATCTTTCTCCCTCAGAGTACTGGAGGGTTCAAACCACTAACCTTTCAGTTACCAGTCAAGTGCTTAACTAGTATGCCTCCGAGGCTTGCTTTATAAGACTTCAACAGTAAAGGGATTATTATAAGGATACTTCTGGGACAAGAGATATGAGATAACTGGCAGGAAGGTAGAGTAACGAAAACATTAACCTGGAAAACACCCTTTGCATTTTGACCTTTAGGTCCCTCAGGAGTCATCTGTTTCTCTATATTCTTTCACTATTACTTAGTTTATAATTGCAATGTATACTTCATCTACATTCAATCAATATGATTCTATTCTTATTACTACACTGTCACAGATTACCAGGACTTGAAATAGGTAACTTCATCATTATCCTTCATTTTTGTTCTTACCCTGAAACTGCCAACTGTGCATGTACATCCTAATCTTTCCATACCCCGAAATCCAGATTTAGCACTCTTCCAACATGTCTCTTATGTTTTCCAGCCCATCTCTCATCACGATGGCTCCATTATTTACCCTTTACCTGGAAGCAAATTTCTGCCCTTGCATCCATTTTCTTTTCTTCTTTCAGCGAGCTCACCCACTCTCAAAACCATTTATTTACCTCTTAATGGTTTCGGTTAATAGACTTCGTGAATTGTTAAGTATTATTGTTGTTATGTACCACTGAGCTGCAATCAACTCATAGCTGACCCTCCAGAGGCAGTAAATTGCACGGGAACTGTAGCTCATCTGTCTCCCATGGAGCATCTCGTGAATTCAAACTTCAGGTCTCTGCTTTGGTGCATGACTCCCTACCACTACACCACCAGAGCTCCCTATGGTATTTTTAGTATCCAAACAGTAGGCAGTAGTGCAACAGGGTTGTTGCACTCAAAGAGTCTTCATTATTACATTTAAAATCGTTCATAATGTTCTATCACCCTTTCTGACTTTTCGCATAGGTTTTTTTCCTCGTACGTATCTCTCACTTCATACTCAACTGAGCTTCCTCTGAAATACAGTTCTCTCTCCTGGGTTTTAATTTCTTAAATAATGCTCTTATCCTTCTAGTCACTAACATACCTGCACACTTCCAGTTTCTCTTAAATATTCTCTTTCAGTTAACATATATTTGTTTAACAGATCTATTTATCAGTGAAACAGGTTAAGTGTTGGCTATTAACTTAAAGTTCAACAACTTGAATCGACTAGCTATTCTGTATGAGAAAGATGGGTAATGTCCAAGTGTTAAGATTTTCAGTCACAGAAACCAACTGGAGGGCCACCTCAAATTGTAATCAACTCTAAATCAGTGGGTTGGGTTTGATAATCTAGGAATTAGGCATATTGTGAAAAAATAGATTCACTCCTTGACCTTATGGTGTTTGCAAGGTTGCTGTTGTTGTATAACACTAGTCTGAACAGACTCACAGCTAAACACATAGCAAGTGTTCAGAGGCACAGAAGGAGACTGTGTACTTTCCTCCCAGGAACAGCTGGCACTTTCAACTGTGCCTCGGAGCTGGCAGTGCAGCTCCTTACCACTACGCCTCCAGAGCTCCCTGACGATCAGTCTTGCATTTTGATAACCCCTGAAATATGAGT